GGATGAATTCTACTTGGTCATTGTATATACTCTTCTTGATGATTTGCTACATTCTGTTTGCCAGTATCTTATTGAGGATTTTTGCACCTATGTCCATTGGAGAATCTGACCTGTTGTTTTCTTTTTTGGTTGTGCTCTTCTTCGGTATTTGTGTAATACTTGCTTCCAGGAAAGAATTTCAAAGTATTGCTTCCCTTTTATTCTTATTAAATTGGTTCAGCATTAGTGGCATTAGTTCTTTCTATATTAGTTCTTTTCTAAATTTCTTGTAGAATTCAACAGTGAATCCAGCACAGTCTGGGCTTTTTTGTTGTTAAGTTTTTAATTACATCTTCAATTTCATTGACTGATATCACGTTATTTAGAATTTTTATATCTTCTTGATTCCGTTTTGCCAATTCATATGTGTGTATGAATATGTTAATTTCTTCTGTGTTTTCCATTTTATTAGAGTACAGGTACTTGAAGTAGATAGTGATGTTCTTCTGGTTTTCCGCAAGATGCATTGTGATTTCACACATTTCTTTCCTAACTGCTTGAATTTCAGTCCTTTCTTTCCTCTTTTTGGTGAGGTTAGCTATGGGTTTATCAATTTTATTTACTCTTTCAAAGAACTAAGGTTCAATTCATTGATTCTTAATATTGTTTTCTTAGTCTTAGTTGCATTAATTTTTGCTCTGATCTTTATAATTTCCTCTCTCATATGAGCTTTGGGTTTGATTTGTTTTTCTTTTTCTAGAAATTTGAGGTTCAACACTGTATTGTTTAGCTGAGCTTGTTCTGTTTTCCTTATGTGAGAATTCATTGCTATAAATTTCCCTTATAAGACTGCTTTCAGGGGCTGGGGATTTAGCTCAGCGGCAAAAGCGCCTGCCTGGCAAGCGCAAGGTCGTGAGTTCGGTTCCTGGTACCGGAGAAAAACCAAAAAAAAAAAAAAAAGACTGCTTTCATTGTGTCCCATAAGTTCCAGTATGTTGTATTGCCATTATCTTTCAATTGTAGACACTGTTTAATTTCTTCTTTAAATTCCTGTAACTCATTGGTTGTTCAGGAGGGTGCTGTTTTATTTGCATGTGTTTATGTAGTTTTTGTGGTTTCTTTTGACATTGATTTCCAGTTTCATTGCACTATAGTCAGATAGTATTCACGGGATGATTTCAATTCCTCTGCATTTACTTAACAATGTTTTATGAGCTAATATGTGATCTATTTTGAAGAACATCCCATGTGCAGCTGAGAAGAATATGTATTCTGATATTGTGGGGTGTAATACTCTGTAGACCACCACTAAGTTCATTTGTTCACAGGTTTGGTTTAATTCTGATATTTTTTTGTTGATTTCTTGTGTAGTTTATATATCTCATTGTGAGAGTAGGGTGGTATGGTCCTCCATTATAAATATGTTACTGTTTATTTGATTTTTCATATCTATTAATATTTCTTTCATGTCATTGTGCAAACTGGTATTTGGTGCATATGTATTTATGATTGCTATCTCTTCTGCTAGGAGTTTTCCCTTAACAAGTATGTAGTGACCTTCTTTGTCTTTTTTTGATCAGTCTTGGCTTGAAGTTCACATTTTTTACAAATAAAGTAGCTACTACTCCTTTGGGAAGGGGGTTCTTATTGCAAGGACTATTGTTTTCCATCCTGTTACTTTCACTTTATGAATTGCTTTTTAAATTAAATGTGTTTCTTGAATGCAGCATATTTCTGCATCTTTCTTCTTGACCCACTCTGCCAGCCTGGTAGATCCAAGTTGGATCCCAGAAAAGTATTGTGTGCACCAGTAAAGTTTGCACGGGAATTTGTCCTGGGTATGAGTCTCATCTTGGCCTCTGGATATGGAGGCTGGGAGTGGCCTTCTGTTGCTGGAGTTCTCCCCAATCCCTTTGATATAAAATGGCAGTCCCATCCTCCCACTTCTGTCCTGCATGTCTGTATGCCAGAGTACAATGCTGGTACACCTACCTTATCAACTGCTGTCTAGTTTTCTCACTGCTGCTTCAGATGTTTCCTCCACATTAGTCTGTCCTGCCCAGCTTGTACACTCCCACCAGAGCCTGCTGGTTAACAATCCTACCTGGGCTAGTGTGTACACCCCTGCTGCAGTGCCTTCTGGGTCTCTGGCCCTGCCTGGGTAGGATTGTTCCTTTCTCTACTTTTAACACGTAGTTACCTAGCAAAGACTAATTCTTTGTCTTATTCACCTGGCTCCCTTTTGTACTCCCCTGAACCAGAACAGTTGTTGCAAGGTTGAAATTCACTACTCTGACCATCAGAGCCCAACATTTGTTTCTATATTTTCAGTTTACCTAGCATCCCAAGTGTGTAGCATTTCTATATAGCAATTTGCACGTAGTAGCATAAGATTCTGTAAAAAAAAAAAAAAAAAAAAAAAAATCAGTGAAACTCTTAGCCATGCTTCCACCTCTTCCTTGAGTGTTCCTTTCCAGTATTCTCAATGATCCCCTATTTTCCAACACTACTGCCCATAACCATAGCCACCCCCATAGCCATAGGAAAGCCTCATCCAATGGGGCTCAGGGGACATAAAATGAGGGAAATTTTCACACATTCATTTAGCTTTTCTGTTGCTGGGATGCAATATCCAAAACCCACACATTAAGGGAGAAGGGGTTTAATTTAGCTCCCAGTTTCAGAGAATGTAGCACATGGTGAGCAGGCTCCAAGGCAGAAACTTCATAGTGGAAGTTCACGGTAGGGCAAATTTACTTAGTTCATGGCCACCAAGGAGCACAGCAAGGAAATAGTAGTTGAGAGGAAGGGACAAAGGACCAGACATAGTATCCAAGGTATGCCACTCAACTTACCCAGAAATGTGCTCCACCAATCCTGTGAGTGGCTCCTAAGTCAATTAATTTGACAGAATCAAGTTTACCCATCACAACAGCAGGACTCTACCCTCCCTGTTCTCTGAAGTACAGGTACAAATGGAACAAACATTATAAATGAGAAAAGTATATGTAAATGCATGAACCACAGAATATCTATGGTCAGAAAGCTTAGGGTTGACATCGCTGGTCTGCTATGATAGTTATGGTATGTTAGCCAACTTACTTCTTTGAACTTCAGTTTAGGATCACAAGTTTGAGACCTGCCTGGGCAGTTCAGCAACTTAGCGTGACCCTGTTGAAAAATCTAAAAGAATAAATACAAAAGGATGAAGATGTAGCTCACTGTGAAGCCGTGGACTTAATCCTCAGTGCTACAAAATAATATATAAATACATGCTGAAAATGAATTATGTCTGCCTCTCTGGGTGTGTTGGTGTGGATAGATTGTAAACTTGATTGGCTTTTTGATCCATCCAGATGATTGATGAAACAAATTTCTGGATATGTGTTGATTGTTAATGGAGGCATGGTCCTGGGTTTACATCTGGTCTCTCGCTCCTTCTACTGTAGCACTGTTTCCCTGCTCTGAATAGCCAGTACCAATAACTAGGAAGCTTTGCTCTGCTACGCTCTTCTGCCATGATGTTTCTGCCTTGCAGCAAGCATATTATGTACTGAATCCCCAGCAACCATGAGCCAAATTAAATCTCCTTTAAACTGTTGGTGTCAGATATTGGGTCCCAGCAACAGGAAAGCTGACTAACACACTAAGGATTTTGAAGATTCAATTAAATCATATAAAACATCTCTTCATGAAGAAAATGAATCACAAATACAGCAGTTAACAGGTGTTATTTTTACAAACAATAGTAGTTAATTTGTCTAGTATTCTTAAATTTGGGCAAAAATTTTGGGAAAGTAAATTGAAACCTAACAAAAGTATGTATTTAAAGATTAGGAGAATTTGGGAGTTAACAGAGAATAGAGTGGTTAAATTCAAATTTTAAGAGATTTTTCAGAGGTAGGCAATTTATTTAGAATTAATTACTTGAATTTTCTTTGTAATCCATTAATGTTTTGTTTATTGTCTAGCATGGGATGCAATACCCAAAACACACAAATTAAGGGAGAAGGGGTTTACACTACAAGTTTCATGAGGGTATTTATCCTCTCTATGACGTTCACCAGTCTATATTCAGTGCCTATACAATGCCTGACACACGACAAATGCTTAATAAATATTTATCAATCTTTGTATTCAGGGAATACAAAGGAATTCAGGAATCTAACTCAGGACATTGAGCTTGCCAGGCAGACACTGTGCCGCTGAGCTATATTGCCAGCCTCATATTCATTAGTATATGAATAGTAACGGAGAACAGACGGTAGGCGGGGTTAGTCTCTCCAGGAAGTGACGTCAGACAGGGCACAAAGGAAGCGGAAGGAGAGTAGTGTTGAGAAGCCGTTGCTACTACAGCTGGCTAGGCGAAGGGTCGCGGAGAAAGAATGAGTAAATTTAGAAGAGATCGGTATCGGGAAGACAGAGAAAGACACCACAGACCGAAAGAGTATGATGAGGATCGACAAGCCAGCTACAAAGAGTAAGAATATAGAGACTGTAGATATGTAATTTGACAGCCTGAAAATCCTTGGTTGTTTTGAAATGAAAGGTTTGAAGGAATGGTGGGTAGAGTGAAGCCATTAGTTTATGACAAAACCTGTGCAGGTTAATCACTGTCTTAGGTATAATCCAGTGATGATAAGATAATAGAATTTACTTCATAACTAGTAGTGAAAGCCTAGTGATTGGTATTTGAATTATTGTGGTGTGGCAGACACGTTTAATATTCTCAAAATGGAACTGGATGAGGCTTTTCGGTTGAACAAGGGCAATACAAAATCAAACTATAATTTGTGGTACCCCCGAGGCTGCGTCCAGGGAAGAGGTCTTCGAAAATGTGCCAGAACGCTAAACCGTTGCTGCCTGGAGCGTGCTGTGTGATTGTGCGCCTTTCTTCAAACTCCTCCCACTCCCTTTTCCTATTGGCTACGGGTCTACAGGTGTCTTACTTTTCTCATTGGTTATCCACTACTTTTGACTCCACCTCCCAGGGTAAAGACTTTCTGCTAATAGGACGTTTTGGTTTTAGTTTGGCTAGAACGCCTGTTGGGAAATTAGCGTGCTTTCGTTTTGAGCACCTGGTTTACAAAAGCAGATTTTTTTTTCTTTTAAACTAAGAAATATTCGGCAAGTAAATAAAGAAGGGGGATCGGCGGGATCGGTTGGAACTGAAAGGAGGTGCGATTTAGATTTAAGGTTGGAACATCGGAGGGTTTTTAACTACGGACCGAGCTATTTCCGGGAGAGAATGGGCGGGCTGAAAATTGTGTGCGTTTGGCGGGTTTCGCTTTCTTTCTAAATATTTAATCATCCAGCAGCAAAAGGAGCCGGATCTGGAAGGACGAAGTGACGCCGCCACAGCCGGACAAGAATTCTTCGGGCTCCCTGATGGCCATGGCCGTGGTGAGTCTCGGTGCAGCTGCAAGCACCTGGCGCCCGGGCTTGGGCGGCGGAAGGGAGGGGCGCCGGCTGCTGCTGGTCACGTGGGCAAACGGCGAATCAGGGTCTGGACCGCCGGCCTCTGGGGCGGGGCCCACTTTGCTCTTCCCCCCACCCCACTCACACACACACACACACACACACACACACACACACACACACACTCACACGCGCGCTGCTGTGCGATTGCGCTCTCTTTGCAGAAGGAGCTGTGAACTGAACAGAAGATTTGGATGTTGGAGTCTGTTGTCTATGGCTTACAGTCTTCATTCCTTCTATTATTTCCCGCCCTAAAAATCACTTTTGATCCCTTGAGAAAGAAATCAATCTGGAGATTCATTGTTTTTAATACACATAATAAGTCTAGGGGCTGGGGATTTAGCTCAGCGGCAAAAGCGCCTGCCTGGCAAGCGCAAGGTCGTGAGTTCGGTTCCTGGTACCGGAGAAAAACCAAAAAAAAAAAAAAAAAAAAAAAGTAAGTCTAGCCCGGCAAGTAGCTGAGAGGGATGCATTTAATTCTCCTATCCTGCGACAACTTCATCAGTATTTATTTTCCTAGGTTTATCAGTTCTTTGACCAACAGAGGTGAATGGTTACATAATGTGAGAAGGGTTGTGTGGAGCTGCCTAGTATATCAAATAGTCATAGAACTTCATTTTTAACCTATTTTTTCATTCAATTTTTGAGATTGGTCATAATTTCTCTGTTGAAGAGAAATCAACTCATAGTTTATTCGGTGACAACCACCCCCTCCTTTTCTTAAGGTTCAGGCTGCATCGTTTTAAGATGAGTATTTTGTAAAATATTGAAACTCTTCCTTTGCTTAAGTTATCAAAACAAAGATTATAAATTTATGTGAAGGTGAAAGAAGAAACGAAATAGACTAATAAGAGATGATCATGTCCTAAAGATATGCACCAAAAAACAAATTGGGAACTTTTGAGCCCTGTTCTTTAAAATGCCCATACTTATATAAAAGAATGTGCACTGTGTGTAGAGCTACATACTGGTACGAGTAAATCATCAGCTCCTGTAGGTAGTTTTGTGTTTGTTAGAGGTTGGAGGGATGGCTATCTACCTTTCTTAAATTTTTCTTGTAGGATTTTAAGACTTATGCAGACCAGGCATGCAAAGCTGCCGAGGAATTTGTCAATATTTATTATGAGACGATGGACAAAAGAAGAAGGGTGAGTGCTGTAGTCTCTCCTGTTCTGTAGTAAATACCAAATCTTTTGTTGTTGTTGAGCAAGCCACTTATCAGACTTGCCTGAGCAATAACTGTGGACTTATTATTTAAGAGCCAGTTGCTTGCACAAAGAGTGCTGTAGTGTTGGGAGTGTGGACTCTGGAATCATATCCTAGCTTTGTCTTTACCTAGTTCCATTACCTCGGGTGAGTTGCTAACTTCGCTTAACCTCATTTTGTTTTTAGGATGGTAAGTAGAAATTTATTTAAATACTGCACCTCGTATAGTGCCGAGCCTAGCTGGATGTTGTGGTGCACACCTGTACTCTCAGCACATTAGGAGGCTGAAGCAGGAGGACTGCAAGTGTGAGCACAACCTGGGTAACTTAGCAGGTAGTTAGAACCTGTCTCAAAATTTTAAAAAAAAAAAATGGCTGGGCATATAGCTCAATGCAAAGCCCCTGGGTTCAGTTTCCAGCCCTATCAAACAAAAGTGATTTTTTTTGTTTAGAAATTTGTTTTGGTTTTTTGAGCCAGGGTCTTGCTATGTAGCTCAGGCTGGCCTTGAACTCAGTATGTAGCCTGAGCTGGCCTCAAACTCTGCAATCCTCATGTCTTAGCCTCCGAGTGCTGGGATTATAGGAAAACTGAACTTTTCTTACTCCTGTCATTTAATAGGTGTGGTTAAAGAAATACCAGTAGCATTACAAGACTAATACTATTACAGTAAATTACTAGTACCATTAAGGAAGTTTTCTTGATTTGCCCATTTTATTTCATATATTAACAGAAAATTTCTGATTAAGTCTTACAACTAAAACTGGCACTCTCAAAAGGATCCACATAGCATAGGTACTTTTAGTCTTCAACAGACCAAATTCTAACTTTAATTGCTTCTTGTAATTTATACCTAAACTATGTATCTAATTATTTCACTATGTGGTCAAGTGTGTCTTGCCCTGGGTGTCTTATCAGAATAAGGCTGTATTTATTTTTTGAAGAGAGCTTCTATCCTACAGGTACAAAATAATCTATCTCTACAAACCTGTATTTTTAGGCAAAGGTAAAAGAGGTTTCTGCTACTGATGTTTGATGACATGGGATGCAGGAAGGCATGTGACAATAGATGTTTATTATGCTTTGTCCTGAGTGTCTACTTGCTTTACTGCTTTCAAAATGAAAGTAGCAAAAAAAGCAGCATTATTTCTTACCACCATCAGGGTAGGTGTTGCCCTTCTATCCCAAATTAAATTGTAGAATAAAGTAAGTAAAACGTCTCCTGGACCTTAACTCATTTCACTTACGAGAGGCTCCTACAAGTACTCATATTTCTTCTGACTTGAGTATGTTAATAGAGTAGTAGGAGAACTAACTCAAGCACATGTATATAAACACTAGGATTAAAATGTAGTAGGGCTTAATTGGTGACTTTATTAATTCTCAGAAAAGGGACAAAAAGCAGATTTGGAGTTCCCTGGAACTTGTGATCATTAAATTCATTTTAAAAGAGAAAGCAAAACTTGAAGACTCTCTTCTTTTTGGATGTTAAGTTTTTCCCTGTGGCCAAAGGAACTATTAAGCATGTATTAATTGCCTAGTCTTCAAAAAGTAGGATAATACTTCTTAAGGCCAAGATTTTGAGACACACACCTTGTTCACTTTGGTTTACAGTGGCAAGGGGCCAAAATAAGTAGACATGAAGGTAGAGCCATGAAAGTGTTTATATACCATCTATAATCATTTAATTCATTTTTAGAATTTGCTTCCCTAGAAAAAAATCCATTTTCTAAACTTCTCTTTTTTTTAGGCACTTGTCAGGCTGTATCTGGACAAGGCCACTATAGTATGGAATGGAAATGTTGTTGTGGGTCTGGACGCAATAAATAACTTCTTAGAGATGTTGCCTTCTAGTGAGTTCCAGGTTAATACGTTAGATTGCCAACCAGTACATGGTAAGATCATGATTTTTCAAGGACTTCCTTTTTCCTTTGTAAGCCCTCAGCTTTTACATCAAAAGTGTCTAGCACCTTTTATTGGTAGAAGTATTTATATATTTGACCAAGTTAAGTGTCATGAAAATTTAGCTGTCCATTCAAACTTTTGTTCTTACTTTAGGTATGTCTCTTTTCACAGACCCACTGACAGGTTTTGATGGATTATGATTATAGTTTATTAAGTTGTGAGAGAAGTTAAGAATAAGTTTTATTTTTGTCAATAGAGAGTATTTCCAGAGAAAATTTATGCCCTATCTCTAATTAATGTGTTTTTCAATCAATTAAAATTTCACTGTGTTACATGAAAGAATGACTTTTGGCAAGGCAGAGCTTGATTCAGAGTAGATTGATGCAGTTCATAATATTCACTTCTAGATGATGTACTCAATGTCTTTAGTTTTTCAGGGTGTTTTTTTTCTTTTATACAGTACTTGAATAGCTTAAGCAAAAATATGAATAAGCTCCACAAAAAACTAATGAAATATTAATGCAGGGAGCAGATATTCCTATGCTAGACATAAGTTCTTTATTTAGACCACCCCCAAGCCTTCCTGGAGTGAAACTAGTTTTAATATTTTTTAAATGAGTATTTAGTTTCCTGGCTTTGGATGTACATATTTAATATTATGATCAAGGTAAAGAACTTTTATGAGAATTTTTTAGCATTAGATCATAAGAAATGGAATCTGAAAATATGCTTATTTAGAGACAGAAACTGACCTGTTTCTTTGTGTGTGTATGTATGTGTGTGTGTGGTAAAGAGCAAGCTACACAGTCCCAGAATACAGTTCTTGTGGTGACCAGTGGAACCGTGAAATTTGATGGAAACAGACAGCACTACTTCAACCAGAACTTCCTGCTGACTGCTCAAGCCACTCCTAGCAGCACCGTGTGGAAGATTGCAAGTGACTGCTTCCGTTTTCAAGACTGGGCTAATAGTTAAAAGGGCAAAAGTCAATTTTTTGGTCCTTTCGGTCCAGCAACAGAATTGTAAAAGCACTATAAATTAGTATGTTCTGAAACTAAAATTCTTCAATATTTTCTTATTCCTAGTAGCATGTTTTCTAGTAACTACCAGTTTGGATTGTTGCCCTTAAGAGCTTTAATGCTAGTTTTTGCCATGCCTTTTATACATTCCACTGATGACATTCTCAAAGTATTATTCGACATATAATTGTGGTACTAACATACTCACTGTGAACCCAGCCTATTGCAAAAATCCTTTTGTAATACTATCTGTGGGATGTCAGCACAACCTAACACTCTGGGAGGAAGTAGAATTTTTTTGATTATTATTTTTGTAGTAAAACTTGCCTATTTTCAGTTAATACTCATAATGCAGTTTTTAATATGTAAGTATAGCCTTTTCAGGTCAGTTCAATTTAGGTTTACCTAAATACTCTGACATATTAAAATTCAATGTGGAGATGTTCAACAGTCTTTTTTCATACTAAATTTTCTTATGTTGACATGTTTCCTTATCAAGTGAGTTAACTAGAGAGGTGAAAATTATTTTCTCTTGATACCGAACCCTTAAGTACACTTGGCTTAAAAGCAAAACCTAAAAACATTTTTCTTGGCAGCTCCAGGTCTGTATATTTAGGGAATGTGTAATAGCAGAACTGGTGTTTTTAATGTGAGAAAGAGGAAATGCAAAAATCCAAGGTTAAAGACAAAAATAAAGTGGGGATGACCCAGTGGTAACATTTTGGTACTTGGTTTCTACCTTCTACAAAGGTTCTGAGAATTGTCATCAATATATATCTCAATTTATTCAAGAATGGGGGTAAAATGTCAGCAATAAGCCTGACCTGACAGGGTCTACCAGGAAAGTTGGAAACAAAGCCATTCGTCTCTCTTTGTTATACCCTTAACTTCTAAGTCTTCCATTTAAACTTCAGGCTCAGAGACTTTTATGTATTACCCACCCCCAAATGAGTGGTTTCCCCGCCCTATGCTTTGTACTGTCAGCTGTATCATCTAGTATTTTAATTAAAGTTGATTTTATGATTTATTCTTCCATATGGCATTGGACAAAGAGATCTGTCTTAAAACAGTTTTCTCTTATGTGACTAAGCCTTTGGCTTTTAAAAGGGAAAACAGAACAATAGATAATCATGATAACTTTCAAAAGAACAAAATAATTTTTATGTCTATACTTCTGAAGCAAAAAAACCTGGCTGTGATTTTTGGGTAAAACTTGCTAGTCTTTGCAATTTTGTAATGTTTTTAAGCTAGACATGCAGCTTTGTTTATACATTACAGCCAAAATTAATGTTTTTATTAAATTCATTTAGTCTTGCAGAAAACTATACACTGTATTTCTGATATATTACCAAAACAAACTTAAATAGTGGAAGGGGATGGAACTGATATTTAAACCGCACCTTCTTGTTGAGCCAATCAGAATTGACACATTATGGTATTCTACTCAAAAGTGAGGTGATTCTTATCTTAGATTTTTTTAAACAACAGCTTTAGCAACAATAAAAAATGCCCAAATATTGTCCTTTTCATTGTAGAGAACAATCACAAATAAAAGCTGTGTATAAGTAGCAATAACTGAACAGCTGTAAATTACTTTCTCTAAACTATAACTTTGAAATGGATGGACATGCTCTTGTATGGACTAGACTGTATTTTTGACATGCTCATATTTTTATAACTTGAAAAATAAAGTTTGCCTGTGGCAAGTTTTCTCAATAATGTTTTAAGGTGTTTTGATTTTTAAGACTCTAAAACACATTTCTTTACAATATGAAGGTTCTCAGTTTTTAAAAAATCATGTTTAAATGTTGAAAACAGTAGTTAAAAACTTGGACTGTTTTTTGTTCTTTCTGTAGCCCGTACTATTCTTTTTCTACCAAGTATTCACATTCCTGAGATCACCTGTTTGATGTAGCAGTCAAATTTTTGCTGCGAATTTGGAAAACTTAACCTTGAGAAACTAATCAAAATGTATAGTCAGTAGGCAGGGCAAGTAAAATAAAACTCAATTCCAGAAAAAATTCCATTCACTTCAATTCTGCATTTAAAAATATGTCGGTAGACATTTTAAGAACAGTGAGAAATAATGGCCCTTACAATCAAATAGTGTTTTAGTCTCTTTAAAGATGCATGTGATCTTCACATATAAATCTCTGAAAGTGATATGGACCTTAAATTGATGCCGTATCACAGTTGGATCAACTTACCCCCTTCTCACTGATACATAAAATAATAGTGATGATCAGTGGCATCTTCGATGGATGAAATGCGGTGATAAATTTTACCTAAGGAAAAGTGGTTAGTCATCTACTTAGATAAAATTCATAGGTAGTAGAGGAGGCTGGTAGCAACACTATAATGATTCAAACTCTGTCACCATGTCATTTATATTTCATGACTAGGCCATATGTCTAGAAGAGCCACAGACTTTAAAAGTTGTGTGTGTGTGTGTGTGTGTGTGTGTGTGTGAATGTGTGAATCAATGAATTTGAGTCAGAATATTTTCCTTGTGTTTTAAATTACTTAGTATATACAGTTTATCTAAAAAGTTAGCACCAGTGAGGCTAAAGGATAGCACAATATTTGGGAAAGTTAAAAGCAAAGAAGGTGCTAAATTGTTGCATTCTGAAATTCTGCTGAATTAACTATTGCCTGAAATGAGTGAGGCAGGAAATTTGATAGAATGGGAATTAATTTACTAATATTTTTTGTAAAAGTGTGTAATATAGTGTAAAAAATATATTCATGTTTCATTCTTGTCTACTTGTACTTTAACATAAATATGTGTGCTTTAACACAACCACTCATTTAAAGGGAGATGGTAGGACATATCTGACTTTTCAAAACACTTGTTATCATTCTTTTCTGTATCCTATTAATACTTGTTTTTTTGCCAAATGCAGCTTTCTGCACAAAAGATTTCTCAGAGGGCTGTATAGGTCTATCTAGCATTCTAGAGAAGGACTAAAAAAGGTAGAGAACTACAGAGTATCATTGGAATAATGACTCAAATGGAAGGTCTTAGGATATAACATAAATCTAGGATTGAGGTACATGCATCCTTAGGTAGCTTTCAAAAGTTTTAGTATAACTCACAATAATGGGTATATTTCATATGACAACGCAGTGTACAGTAGCATAAATAAACCAAGAAAATATATCCGAAACTCATGTTTAGCATTTGCAATGTATTCCTAGCATTTTCTGTTTTGTTTTCCTTTTTTTTTGAAAACGCTAGTCATGCCAGTCATGGTGGCGCATGCCTGTAATCCCATCACTTGGGAGGCTGAGACAGGAGGATCACTGCAAACTGCAAGCCAGCCTATATAAGGAGTTCAAAGCCAAAGTGAACTACATAGTGAGACTTCATCTCAAAAGATTTTTTTTTAAAAGAAGAAAAAGGAAATGCTAATCATAACCTGCTCAGTTGATCTATACAACTTCTTAAAGGGTTGTATGAACAGTTTGAAAAACACAAAAAGTTGAATGAGCATAATATTTCCATTTTCATTTTCTCTTGCAGGTGTAGGGTCAGCTTTCCAAAAGTGGTGCTGTGTCAGTGATGTCACCCTAAATTACAAGTGTCTCCTCACAAGCTTGTCTTCTTTGTTGAGGGCCATGAAGGGAATCACTTTTCCTCCCATTTCTCAATTTGCACTACAAGTCCAGAGATAAGGAAGCACATGTTCCGATTACTCTATAGCAGAATGTGGGAATACAATAAATGACAATAAAAAGAAGTGAAAACAGGGAAGAAGTAACCCTGTTTCAGATGCCCATGCAGAGAATTAAGATATTCCAGCAGAAATATTTGAACATGCTTTGATGTTATATAAGCAGTTATTTCAGGAGATTTTTAAATAACGTATTTAAAAAGTACATTTTATGTATTTTTTCCTTTCCTTTCCTCCTTAAATGCCCCAAACATCTGCATATCAACCTCTGGTTTGATAAACGTGGTGATAGTATCTAAGAGGAAAATCTTGATCTCAGACCCAGAGGAGATCTGCTCCTCCCCCCATGTGCTTTGTAACTTTGGACAGTTCACTTACTCTGAGCCTCTCTCTTCAGCTCTGCATGGGATACTGTTTGCCCTATCTGGTCTAGCAGCTGGTATGATAATCTAACACAAAACATTAAAATACTTGCAAGATGCTACATATACAAATGCAGTTATTGTATTTTTTGACTTGGATATTGGCTTCTTGCCTTCCCTAAATTCTGTTTCTTTTATGATAACTCAATTGATAAAGACTACTGTGCACAACCAGATACTCATTCTAAACCTTGCCACTGCTTTTACAAGACAGTTATTCCGTCTCCACAAAATGTTTTAGATTAATATAGGTAGAGTCGGGTATGTTGCTGTTTAAACAAAAAGATTTAGGCCTGCTATTTTTGTCCTTTTTTAATGTCATAATAAGATATTTTTTAAATAAAAAAGTTTTGTTTCTTATATACATTAACCATATTGTATATTTTTATGTGACTTAGGACAATTTCTCTTCACTCAAAAAAAAAAAAAAAAAAAGAATCACAAGACACAGGTTAGACCACCCTGATTATGGGTCTTAAAGAAAAACAATAGCATTTGCAAATATATGTTTAAGTGGTCTTTTTGTAACCAGAAAGAAAGTAGACTGTAGCATTGTTAATTTCAGTTTTCTTGCTCAGGAGTGGGAAATCAGTGAGAGAAGCTTGCACTGTTTAATCAAGCCCATGTACTCTGGTCTGTCTTGGAACCCTGAGCTCCCAGACATGGCCAGCACGGTCTTCTTCCTGAGCTTTTGTCCCCCAAACTGTAGCCTGTTGTTTCTGAAAGGGTCTCTGGCAACAATTTCTCTAATTTATTCATCTATTCATTTGTAAATCTACCTTTTTTTTTTTTTTTTTTTTTTTTATTTTTTACCATGATGTAACTAAACCACAGAGTCTAGAACATTTTTGGTTTTTCTCCGGTACCGGGAACCGAACTCACGACCTTGCGCTTGCCAGGCAGGCGCTTTGCCGCTGAGCTAAATCCCCAGCCCATCTATTCATTTGTGATACCCGGGATTCCCAGTGGTCTGGGCCCAATCTCAGAACTAATAATTCATTGGCTTTGGATCCTTTCTGAGAGAAACTGCAATCCTGGGAATAGAGAACAGAAGAGAAATTAGCTGAAGCAGAGGTGATGCAGGTACGGACAATTTGGGAGATACTGTTCTCCAAATGGAAAAAAAACAGTGGCAGGAGAAACCAGACATTTCCATTTACAAATACTACCCGGGAAGCCAGTGGCAAAACTAGGACCTGGGAGGCCGATTTCCATGCCCATTCTCTCTTCCGGAGACCCTGTACTTTAAGGCTTCCCAAAGTTTACACTGTTGCAGGCTCTGAACCTGTCCTCCCCTCTCCTGAGTTCTTATCCAAACTTCTGTGCTCTGAGAAACATTCCCTTTTGCCCCACCCTATCTTCCAAGCTAAGTTTACTCTTAGACTCACAATAGAGTGGTTTGGCTTTTGTCTCAAGGGCTTGTATTAGTTAGAATTCCCATTGCTGGGCAAAATACCTAATACCCACAGTTTAAAGGAGGATAGGTTTATTTAGCTCAGGGTTCCAGAGGGTTCCATCCACGATTACCTGGCTCAGAGAAACATCATGGCAAAGGGCATGGCAGAGCAAGGCTGCTTAATTCATGATGGCCGTGATGCAGAGGGTGGGTGAATATCTGCCAGAGAGGAAGGAGTAAAGGTCCAAATAGTTTACCCAAAATCAAGCCTCCACAACCCAGCCAGACATGCCCAGAAGTATGCTTTACTAATTCACTAGCTTGCTCCCAAGCCAATCAACCTGACACACTTAATGATTACAGGACCATGGCATTTTGAATATAAGTACTTCAGGCTGACTAAGCAACAAGTTATTTAGCCATTTTCTGCCACTGGGTATATCCATTTTTCCACCTTTTTTCAGTTAAAAACTGCAATATTAAATGCCTCTGTACACATATTTTGCACATATGTATTGTATTGTTCCCCTTGCAATAACAACCCCAAACCATAACATCTTATTATCTTTCTTTGTTTTTTACCCTTCTCCTCATTTAGTCCTGCAGTTGTCTCTCATGCTTAAGGTGGTCGATTCCATTTTTACCCCCTCCTCTTTAAACTGTACACAGGAATAACAGTTTTGACATAGGAAGTTATATTTTAATTGTCTCCTCCTTTCCTTCCTCTCTTAGAGCCGGTAGTCATCTGTACTGCCCTTTGTCTCAGAGGAGGGATTGCTCAGATGTTTTTTCTATCTCCCAGGGCCATCAGGCAATCTACAACCCAGAAATTGCCTTTCATTTTGCTTTCACGTGACGCTGTCATCTCACATTTACTTCCTTCCAGAAACAAGGCAGTTTAAACTTTCCTCTGAACATCAACCATTAGTGAAGCTAGTAGCATCCTTCCCAGTAATGGGAAGTATGTGTTGTTGAGGATCCTCTGGATCACTCTCAAATGGTCTCTTTGGGCATATTTTCTACTGAAGGTATCTACTCTATTTGTCAGTTGTTTTCTTGGATGTTCTTGATCATTTTGGGTTAGACAAATAGTCACCTTCTTACTTCTAGCATTTGTCCCATCCCTCAAAACACTGCTCTCAGCCCTCTAGGGCTTTATTTCTCAGGCTATATCTATTGATACAAGTCCATCTATAAAGTCCATCTCAGAGACACCATAGTACCCTA